ACCATTGCTTTCCTCCCAAGAAGCAGGCATCTTTTAATTTCATGGCTGCTGTCACAGTCTGCGGTGATCTGGGATCCCAGGAACGTGAAGTCTGTCCCTACTTCCACGACTTCCCCTTCTATTTGCAAGGAGTGATGGGGCCGGATGCCATGATCTTAGTTTTTTTGATGTTGAGCTTCAAGCCCACTTTTGCGCTCTCTTTTCACTCTGAGCAAGAGGCTCTTAAGGTTCTCTTCACTTTCTGCCATTAGAGTGGTATCGTCTGCATATCTGAGGTGGTTGATCTTTTCCCCAGCAGTCTTAATTCCCGCTTGTGATTCATCCAGGCCAGCATTTCGCATGATGTACTCTGCATATATATTAAATAAGCAAGGTGACAATATACATCCTTGTCGTACTCCTTTTCCTATGCTAAACCAATCAGTTGTTTCATATCCGGTTCTAACTGTCGCTTCTTGGCCCTAATACAGGTTTCTCAAGAGACATGTGAGGTGGTCTGGTACTCCCATCTTTTTAAGGACCTGCCATAGTTTGTTGTGATCCACACAGTCAAAGGCTTTAGCATAGTCAATGAAGCAGAAGTAGATGTTTTTCTGGTCATAGCAAGTCATAGCATATAAGATTTACAAGATTTCTGTCCAGACACTTTTACAAAAGGGAAATTGGCCCCTTCCAGTCCAGTACAATCTGCAATGCCATTGTACTAATTCCCAAATGCCTACAAGAACTTCCATATGCTATCAGTGTGGATTAGACTAAGTAGATTCTGTGTTAGAGTTCAGACAGGGGAAGTAAGAATGTGTGCCACACATGCCAAGAATCAGCAAAAGCCTTCAGTGCAGACATGCCCACATAGGGGCTTGCTATGACACAATCCAAGAATTCCTGCTTTGAGTACAAGGCTTTTTTGCTTTCAGTCTGTCTCTTCTTATTGGAACAGTCTACTCAGAAATGAGTACTTATCTTCAGTGGAACACTAGCCAGACTAACTAGAGCAGAAAACTACCACAGGTAGTTAGTGAATTTTAATACAATAATGTATTTTTGGTCACAGTGCTACATGACCCACATGCTACACCCTCAAAACCCTGCTTGGCTATAGATGTTAATTTTTAAGTACTTGTTCATGATTCTGTCACTTCTCATTCCTTATTCTTGCTGGAATGAGTTTTAGGAGCACAGTAATTTCCACCCCCTCTCCAAAGCATCTTTATTCTGCCTGGGTCATGGCTTCTGCACGGCATCATAAACAGCAATAAAAAGGATAACTCTAAGTATTAGCCTTGGATCCAGACCTGCGTATGTGCAATCACATACTGCCCATTTGAATTAAGATCATGAGTTGAAGCCTTGTGACAAAAGGGAAATCCTGCTTCTCTCAAATCAGATAATACAGATAATACATAATACATGTTGCTGCAAAATGTCTCTTTAATTTTCTCTCAATAGCTATTTATTAATACATCAATAGACAATGCTATATCATTCACTGGGCCTTCACAATGGTTGCCACAACACTGTGCAATTCTCTCACCTGAGTTTTGGCTACCTCCCCTTCCTTTCCGAGGCAAGCAGAGCTTTCGGCCAAGCACAATGGCAGGTAGTTAGATCCTTGTGTGTGGATGTAAAGACTTATGGCAACCCCAGCAAGGGGCTTTCAAGGCAACTGAGACACAGAAGTGGTTCGCCATTGCCTTTCTCTGCAGAGTCTTCCTTGGTGGTCTCACATCCAAGCACTGACTCTGCTTAGCTTCCGAGATCTGACAAGATTGGGCTTTCCTCCTGTAGACCAGTTGCAAATTGATCGAGTAGGATAGAGTTTTAGTGGTATTTTCCTATGATGGATTATATGGATAGATGTATTCCGGACAATAAATGCATTTCACTTTAATGAAGTCTCCTTTATGAATATTTTGTGGGAAATTCAGCTCACAGGTGTTTTCTGTTATTCTTTGCCACTTTCTACTGTGTGCTGTACTGTTGTTGCAAGGTCTCCACGCAAAGACAGACAGTGTTTGCTAACTAGTGCTAAAGCTGCTATTGAAAAGGCTGCAGCACTTATGATTAGTGGAGCTTGAGATCTTCTATCCTAGGATTTCCCACTTGTGAACATTTGGTTGCACTGTTCAGACTAGCCAACATTTTTGATTAAATCAACACATCATTGCCTCCAAGCCTGGGGAATTTTAATAAGATCAAAATAACTGCAGATGCCAGAAGACTCTGCAACACAAGGGGGAAAATTGTGAATGACTCTTGGGTAGGTAACTATATGAAGTGAGAAATGGGAGAAGGGAACAGAAACATGGTATAATCAGAACCAAAACATTCCAAAAAGCTCTCTTTCATCCAGCCTCTATATCCTGAAGAGGGAAGCAGAAGTATTAAATAAGCCAAGCAAGGTGGAAAAAAGTAATAGTACATATGGACACTGGAAAGGTTCCAGGTGGTTCGTCACTCAAATATTGATTTTCATATTAACTCTGGTTCCTAAGAACAAATGCTGGCCCCTAGGAATCTGCACGGTTTTCTTCCATCATTGACACAGACACATGCAGCATTTTTATCTCATTACCCAGAGAATACAGGTGAAATCCAAGCCAAGAGGCCAAAATGCACAGTAGGAATACATTACAAGCTTCAACTTAGAAAACGTCCAGGACCACACGGATTACATATACAGAACAGTTATATTCATCTAATAAGGATAGGTCCCCCCCCCAATGATGGTACAACTCCAATCAGATAGCTCAGAAATCATTATACTAGATTTCCCTGCTAATGTGTAATACCACCACACCCCAAGTAAGAAATAGACTTTCCTTAGAGACACTAATGGTTCTAAGGAAAGAGACAAGCTTCTTCCTGAACACTACTCTTCTCCCACTGGCCATCACACAAGGTTGACAGAAGGAACTGCACCCCACTGCAGCACAAAGAATTTGGCAAGCTAGTTCCAGTATGTGGGAAGTGGAATAAATGTTCCACGACGAGACAACAGAAATATATAACCTGTCACAGTATCAGAGACCACAGTCTTTGTCACACAGTCTCTTCTTCTATAAAAGATGTTTCCCATAATTTCTCTTTAATGCTCATAGCCAAAGATGTGCAGAACATAGCCTGCACAGGAAAACTGTAAACTGACAAAACAAGGATGGCTAACCTTTTCAGCTGAGTCCTACGAATGTTCAAGTAGAAGTAAGCTTCACTGAGTCCAATGGGGCATACAACCTGTGCACAGGATCACAGTCATAAGAACATAACATAAGAGACGCCAATGTTGGATCAGGCCAAAGGCCCATCTAGTCCAACACTCCGTCACACAGTGGCCAAAAATATAATGTTGTATAATAAGTCCTTATGTTGTTGGTGACAAGTTCAGTGCAGACAAAAGGAAGCTATTTTTAACACACAGCAGATAATACACAGTTTCTTGCCACAAGTTAAAGGAAACTTCCATATTCATGGGCAGCATACCTCTAGCGTAAGAAGAGGCATTATGGAGACCAAGATAATTCATATTACGGTATTTCCCATTACTATGTATGGATGTGTAAGTTGGACACTGAAAAAAACTGACAGGAAGAAAATTGATTCATTGGAAATGTGGTGTTGGAGGAGCATTTTACCAATACCATGGACCACCAAAAAGCCAAATCAGTGGATTCTAGATCAAATCAAGCCTGAATTCTCCCTAGAAACTAAAATGACGAAACTGAGACTACACTTTGGTCACAACATGAGAAAACAAGACTCACTGAAAAAGACAATAATGCTAGGAAAGGTTAAAGGCAGTGAGAAACGAGACGGATAGATTGACTCCACAAAGGAAGCCACATCTGTTCAGTTTGCTAGACTCGAGCTAGGCTGTCAATGATGTTTTGGAGGTCGTTTTTCACAGGGTCTCCATAGGTGAGAAGTAACACCTGTACCTCCACTTACCTGAGGCTGGAGACAAATAGCAGAAGTTGACCAGCGTACTGGTGACACCCCTGCCCATACCTCCGGGCAATCTGGGCAAGGGAACCTCCACATTCAAAGACAGTAAATCTTTTAATACCACTGCCAGGAGGCAACATCAGGGGAAGGCCTTAGCCTGTCTGCCCTGTTGTTAATCCTTCAGCACAACTGGTTGGCCGCTGTGTGAGACAGGACACTGGACTAGATGACTGCTGGACTAGATGGGGAATGTTCAAAAATGTTCCACTCCAGGTGTCAAATACGCTAGGTATGCCACTGTTGCGAGTTTCAAATGAAGGACAGAAGAATGATGTTAGCCACTTTGGGTCCCCCCTGGGGTAGAAATGAAGTATTCAAAAAATGTATTACTAACTGCTCCATAGGAGCTGCGGTGGCTCAAGTGGTTAAGACGCTCAACTGCAGGCTGTGGAAGGTCAGTAGTCCAGCAGTTCGAGACCCGAGTGCCGCATGAGGGAGTGAGCTCCCGTCTCTAGTTCCAGCTCCTGCCAACCTAGCAGTTCGAAAGCAAGAAATTGCAAGTAGATAAATAGGTACCACTTCAGTGGGAAGGTAACAGCGTTCCGTGCGCCTTGGTGTTTAGCCATGCCGGCCACATGACCATGGAAATGTCTTCGGACAGCGCTGGCTCTTCGGCTTGGAAACGGAGATGAGTACCGCAACCCTAGAGTCGGATTCGACTGGCTTTCAAGCAAGGGAACCTTTACCTTAACTGCTCCATACACTGCGAATTCCTCTGACAAAGTGTGCTTTGACTCACCAAAATATATATGGGGGGGGATATTGGACATTAATGCGCCCCTGGAATCGAATTGTAATCCATACAACACTCTTCGATTGCTCTCCTCCATCCAACATACATCTGCTTCCCTGTCTATCCCACGGCTGAGCCTCACCACAGCCGCACCCCACCCAGCCACCCTAACTCACTGATTTTTCATTGCTTCCGCCTCTCTACTCTGTGACCTTCTCCTTCGGGGCCCCCCTGTGGTTGCTTAGCAACACGCCACACATCTCACCTCCTGAGCCACGCTGAAAGACTCTTGCCGCTGCTTAGGCATTTTCTCCTTTCACGTTGCGCGCGGCCTCCCCCCCTCCCCCATTCTGGCGCGGCTTGACTACGTGTCTTAGGGAAGGTTAGGCTCTAGCAACGACCGCGGCCATCTTTGTCAAGGGTACTACAGCCGTTCGTCCACGGATTACTTCCTGACAACGCCATGTTTGAGAGGGGCTGATCGGTCGAGTTCGGAAAAGGCGTGGCTTCCTGGTCAAAGTTTTCTGGTTGTAGCGAACTAAAGATAGGGTAGTGTTATCAACGAGTATCTTTTTTTTTTTTTGTCTAAATGTTTTGGTATATGGTATTGCTAAAAATTAAATTCCCCAATACAGAAGAATTAGGATGTCTTTTATTAACCTTTTGTTGGCAATTGTCTCTGAACAATTTGTTCCCATGCCAGTCAGCTAGGAAAGAGGGTGTAGACTAGGGTGAATGCTCTGACAAGCATGAGCACCCACATTTTTTATGTCGTCGCTGTTTGTTTTTTCTGCGATCTCTAGAAGAGCTGGATCTGTGACGTATACAGTGCGCTTCAGTGGGGTATGCGGGGGGGGGGGGTTACATATGAATATCATGAAGACCTGTGACCTGGATCATACAATTTCATACCATGGTAGCACCTTGATTCATTATCTTTATAAAGCATGGGGGTGGGAGGCGGCGTGAAACATACGGAGACAGGATGATTTTTGCGAAGGCCTGTCTCTGGCCCAGGTGTGGTGTGCCATCAATACTCTTTTAAGAGAGCCTTTGGCTTCTCTAAATGTCTTTTGTAGTCTCTTAACTTTTGGGGGGGGGGTCTATTATGGATGTTATTTGCAAGGTTTCTGCTAGCATTTTTGATAGTTTAATGTTTTAAACTTTTTTGTGATTTATATGTTTTTACAGTGCAATCCTTAGACGAACTGCACTTTTTGGAAGGGTGTAACAGTGTTTAGGATGCACTTTTAATCAGTTACCTGCCTTGGGTCACAGTTGCCTGGAAGAAAGGCTTATTATTATTATTTTTATTATTATAAACATTTTATTAAAGTTTTTAAAGAAAGTAGTACATAATTTTTCTAAGTTAGAAAACAGAGAAACGTGAACTTTCAATAAAGATGCAACTATTAATACATAAACAAAATGCAGATATAATAATTAATACATTGTGCAGAATCTATAACATTTACCATAACCTGTGAAATACTGTTACAACATACAATTTGAGTGTCACATTACAATGAATGAAACAATTCCCCACATCAATAATACAGGACGTGGAAGGTATAGGTTTCAAATCCATTTATGAAACTGAGACCATTCAGAAGAAATAAACTGTTGTTGGGATAAATAGTCCAGAACTGGGTACCATTTCCCCGTGAATGATGAGTGAGCGTTATAGTGTATTTGAGCTGAGACAGAGTCCATAAGAAAATGAGACCATAATTTTGTATACCAAACCTCAGTGCTTGGTGGTTTCACATCTTTCCAATAAGATGCTATAGCAGTCTTGGCAGCATCCAACATGACCTCAATAGTGGATTTATGTGGACGGGAAGACAAATCTTTAGGCCACGAGTTCAAAAATAGAGTTTTGGGCTTGAATGGGACAGTGACTGAAGTGACTTTTTAAATTACTGCTATTACCTCCGTCCAGAAATGTTTAAATTTTTCATAACTCCACCAACAATGGGCGAAATTCCCAATTTCATGGCACCCCTTCCAACAGTAGGGTGAGTTTGCTGAGGAAATATAAGAAAGTCTATGTGGTGTGGCGTACTATCTTGTCATGATTTTCAGATTCTGTGGGCATACCGTCAGTACTTTAGAATTATTTATCTTGGAAGACCAAAATTTATTCCAGAATTCCTCTGTAAGAGAGGCGTCGCAATCTCCTTGCAAAGAAGACTGGTATGGTAACATTTTGGTGCAGGTGGCATTAATCAGGAGTGAGTAAATAGCAGATATTAGACCAGCATTCTGAGAGGTAATGTTTTAAATAAATAGATACTGCTAAGTCTCCTAGCCCTGACCTGGATGGCCCAGATCTCAGAAGCTAAGCAGCATTGGCTCTGGATAGTATCGGGATGGGAGACCACAAAGGAATCTCAGGGTCTTTGTGCAGTGGAAGGCAATGGTAAAACGTCTCTGTTAGTCTCTTGCCTTGAAAACCCTACTGGGTTGCCATAAGTCAGCTTGACAGCATTTTACACACATGCACACAGGTAGCTTCATAATAGCTGCAGCAAGAGGAAAGGAGCAGAGGAGAAAAGGTTGCTGAGTGCGGACTCCAGATGTTCTCAAACTATGTCAGTTTTTACAAGTCACAAGATTGTATTAAAATTTTGATTTTTTAAAAAAAGTAATGTTCAATGTTTGCTGTTTCAGTTCTTAGCCTTTAGTATGCATTGCTTGTACCGCTTCCCCCAGTGCAACACCAAATTCTAAATTAAAAGAATTAAAAGAAAGCTAAACTCCCCACCACCCTGTAACAGATTTTTTTTATAATCTCAGGCACCTAGAAACCCTTAAAATTATGAGTCTTATAATTAAACTAGACAAGTAGGCACCCCTGGGTAAGTCTATGAAATCCATCCAAAACAACACAAGCTGCCACTGAAATACCAGCATCTTGTGTTCTTGGGTGGAACATAATCATCTGTTAGAACAGAGGCAGACAAAGTAACCTGAAATGAAAACGAAGGCAGTTGTACTGCTGTGGACAGAACAAACGAAGGGATACTTGTTAAGGCAAGCTGAAAGAAGAGTGAGCCTGAAATACAGCGAGAAGGACTACCCAAATGTCACTGTTATTAACCATTCTTAAAATTAGGAGTGCATAATTCATATCACTCAGAGGATCGCTATTCCATTGTATTAAGAGTTATGCTACTGTATCATCATCAGGAGAACATTTTACTCACATATTTAACCCTCTGTTTTCCTTTTTAGTCCACTTGGCTGTTAACCACTGTCTGCATTCTCTGCTTTCTGGTGACTCTTTCTCGTTTTCTTTTTCCAACCCATGGAGGTTCTTTTATATTTATTTAGATATTCCCCCCCCCCAATTACAGCATCACTCTACCCTCCACTATTGTATCCTTGAAATAACATCAACCCTGTGATGCAGATTAAATGGAGACTGAGTGACTGGTCCAAGGACCTTTCGTGGCAGAGTGGGGGTTCAAACCTAGGTCTCCCTGATCCTACTGCAGTACTCTAGGTACTGCACCATGTTGGCACACCCATCTTTTTATCTCACCTCACAGGTCTCTCTGCACTCACCCCAGCTGTTCCCCCATTTTCTGTTAACTATTTTCTTTCTGCTTCAGAGCAGAATCTATTCTTTCTCCTCTTTGTACTACTGCAACTGAACTCTCTGTAGCATATACCACAGAACTCTCCTACCACATAGAACAACTATTGAATATAAATGTATAAGGAAATGGATTTTGAACAAAAATATCTGTTATTTTCTATTTTATATGTGAGGTATATAATAGATTTTCCTCTAAGCTATGGTATATTAAAAGTTATAGCTAATATCCAGAAACATTGAAATATATAACATATATATATATGCAACCACAAGAAAATTAACACCTTTAAGATCAACAAAGTTTTATTCAAGGTATAAGCATTTGTGTCCAAGCACACATCTTCAGATACAGTGAAACAGAATTTTGTCGGCCATTACATAATAGGAAGAGAGAGGGTGGGGGGTTAGTTGACTGGAAGGGCTAGGTTGGAATCAAGATGCATAAGTAAGTGGCCAATTATATCAGATTGGATTAAGGCAGTTGTTAAAATCTGTGAATGGCGGTAATTTGTTGTAGTTGTTCAGTCGCACAGTCAAGTCCGACTCTTTGCGACCCCATGGACCACATCACGCCAGGCCCTCCTGTCTTCCATCGTCCTCTGGAGTTTGCTCAATTTAATGTTTATTGCATCGGTGACACTGTCTAATCATCTCATCCTTTGCCGTCCCCTTCTTCTTTTACCTTCAATCTTTCCCAGCATAGGGTCTTCTCCAGTGAGTGCTCCCTTTTCATTTGGTGGCCAAAGTATTTGAGCTTCAGCTTCAGTATCTGGCCTTCCAGGGAACAGTCAGGGTTGATTTCTTTTAGGATTGACTGATTTGATCTCCTTGCAGTCCAAGGGACTCTCAAAAGTTTTCTCCAGCACCATAATTCGAAAGCATCTATTCTTCTGCGCTTGGCCTTCCTTACGATCCAACTCTTGCAGCCATACATTACTACTGGGAATACCATTGCTTTGACTATACAGACTTTTTATGGCAGGGTGATGTCTCTACTTTTTATTATGCTGTCAAGGTTTGCCATCGCTTTCCTCCCAAGGAGCAGGCATCTTTTAATTTCATGGCTGCAGTCAACGTCTGCAGTGATCTTGGATCCCAGAAATGTGAATTCTGTCACTGCTTCCATGATTTCCCCTTCTATTTGCCAAGGAATGATGCCATGATCTTAGTTTTTTTGATGTTGAGTTTCAAGCCAACTTTTGTGCCCTCCTGTTTCACTCTGAGCAAGAGGCTCTTGAGGTCCTCTTCACTTTCTGCCATTAGAGTGGTATCATCTGCATATTTGAGGTTGTTGGTTTTTTTAAAGTACCCGAAGGTACATATTTATTATTTTCTTATAATCCTAAACACAGACATAAACCACTACAACAAACAACATATAAACCAAGAGACTTGTTACAGTTTGTTGCTACACCTAATCCATCGCTTCATTATTCTCTAATATTTGTTAGTATTCTCTAATTCCATTATTATATATTACTACATACTCAAATATTATTTTTGCCATATCAACTTAATCTTTAACTCCATTCACATTATACCAATCAAATAGTCTCTTCCAAGTTTTTTGAAATGTCAATTTCTTCATGCCTTTCATTTCCATAGTTAATTTATCTATTTCCGCCACTTCCTGTTTGGTTGGTGTTTCTTGAGTCTTCCAGTATTTGGCATATAATATCCTTGCCGCCGTTGACATGTATACAATCAGGTATCTATCCGTTTCCTCAAATTCTTTCGGA